TTTCTGGACACAGGCGAAATCAACAGAACTATGAATATGTATGATGTAGAAGCAGACAGACAATGAGTGAGCAGAGCCCATGTGAAAAATGGGATAGGAAGGCTGGGAAGTTTTCTTTATACTTTCCTTCCTTCAGAACAACAACAACAACAAAATGATGAACAGTAGAACAGATTACCTAAGAAGGAAGTGCAAAGAAAGGTGATTGACTTTGGGGAAGAAAAAAATAGTGTCTTTTGCTGTGGAAAAAGCAGTTAAGGATGGCAACTGTCAGAAGTGTAGGCACCATAAAATATAATAAAGAAAAAATGCAGAACAACAGAAGTGACTAAAGATGGCAGTTAAGTAGAGGTATTGAAGAAATAGAATGCTTCAAGACACATAAAGTCAACCTGCGGAAAGATGAAAAAGGTAAGGCTGCGCGTCTAATAGGAATACAGTAAGATGTAGATATGAGTGGGGGATGTGACTGTTGCAGAAGTGTATAGTGGATTTTGTATACTTTTACTGCCATATAAATATTCCTAATGTACATAATGTTCTAAGGAGACAGACATTATTTTTTCTACAAATTTATGGGCATTATTCCAGAAAGGAATGCATACAGTGAGAGAAAGCACAACTTTAGTCAAGGCAGTGAATACTGAAGGAGAAATAAATAATAAGTAAAGAACCAACAGAATTCTGAGAAACAAACTTGGAATAGTGAGGATAATATGTATTTTAAATCTAGAGAATAAAATGTATTACACAGCTGCCACATGTATGGTTTATTATATACTGAAATGCTAACATGTTTAGGAGAATACTAGAAAAACGGCTTTCAGAACTGTTGTTAGAAACTATGACATGCAGAGAAAATGGTTCAGTAAAATAAAAGACGAAATGAGAGGCATAAGAAAGTGAGATTTCATTATGTTCCTGGAACATCTTCGCATATGACAAGTGGAGGAAGAAAATGGTAGATAGTGCATGAATTGATTTAGGTGAGACATATAAAGGAAGTTTGGAGATTTTATAGCACAAATCCTGCCAGAAGGAAGTGAGAAGTGCTGCATGGTGAATATCTTCCTCGGAGTGAAACCACTTTTTGATATGAGCTGATCAGTCATTTTAGGAGAACATCAGAGTAGTGATGGAATGCTCAAACTAATGCAATGAAGTACAGAGAGAATACAAGACATTCACTTTCTTATTTTCTTGATTGCTATTTATTACCTTCTACACTTCTCTGAAAATACCAAAACCACTGGCTGTCAACAAGATCTACTCAGTATGAACAAGGGGAACAGTCCTTCATAAAGAACATAAGCACTGATCCATATTACAGACAGATGGAATATCAGAAATTCACTGACTCCATAATTGTGTCATGCTAACTACATAACTACTTTGTTTTAATTAGAAGTTCTTATTAACCTAACATATAAGAATGATTAATTTTGTTCACATTCTGTGTTATGCAGTAGTGATGACAAAAATATGTAGATCTATTTTTGACATCAAATACATTATACAACTGTAATAAGTATTTAATTGCAAAATTATATAAACTCTTCAGTTTATGATTTTGTCTAACTTGTCTCATTTGCAAGGAGACAAGTCAAAGTGGTATAGGAGCTTGTGTGAAAGGTTACAGGACATACTACATATGGAATGATACACAGAATAATTCCTGTCAGTAGAGACTTTGGACCACAAAACCAGCTCCAAAACTCTTGGGACAAAATATATACACATACAGATATAAGAGGAAAATGGCAGTGATAACTCACAACTCTGGTACAGCTGAATCTACTAAAGTTCCTAGATGTTTTAAAATTAAGTTTAAATGTCACAAATACTTTAAAATATGTTATGAATTTTTACAGTATGATTACAGTATTAATAATAAACAGGGTTATATAATTTGTTCTTTCTCCACATCTACATAAATTTTCATAGCCATTTTGCTTTGAAAGAGTGCATCTAGTTTTTTGGGCAGTTATTAATTATCTCTCTGTTTTCAAAATTTATTTCTCTTTACAAACATTAATGATAATTTTTACCCAAATGAGCATTTCAGCTTTAAAGTAACTGAAAACTAAGCAGCTACTTAACTATGAAATCAGCTACTGAGAAATTTTATGTTTGCTACTTACATCATTAAAGGAGAAGTTTTAAATTTTTTTTTTTTCTGCATAGAAATGGTTACAAAGCATTAGAGTCTTAAGCTATATCAGGACTCATTCTTCAAGTACCTTTATTAATGATTCGTGCCATGGAAATCTTCATTCTTGCCTCTGTGACCTGTTCTTCACAGAAGAAGAATTTCAAATTGGGGATGATCTTCCTCAGTAACAGTTTGGGTCTGTTTGCTAACTTTCCTCTCAGAATATTTTTCATGGTTTGGGTCATTATACATTTTCTGCAGGCTTATGATATTTTTATAAACAAAAGCATATTGTAGAGAAGTACATAGGAGATATTCTTCGTTCTGAAGAGCTATTATCCTTACCACCCTCTTTTTAATTAGCTTTTAAAAATTTTTGCTTTAAGCTTTCTCTGAAAAAAACTTGGTTATAGAACATCATGTTCATGAATATACTCAGTAATCTTTTTTTCCAATAATAATGCATGGAAATCATTTAGTTTGTCACTAAGATTATAGGCTAGCTGAGGTTCCAGGTATCATTACTTAATGAAAAGCAGCACTTTTAAGATCAAAATTTCAGAATCTTTTGTCTGTAGGTTTCAAAACTGTTTACAGTATTCATGCTTTTAAACTTTACAGAAACTTAATGGAACTTACATTCCAAACCACTTTTGAAAACATCTTCCATGATCATTAAGTTAATGGGACTTAACCTGGCATATTAATTTTTCAATAGAATTACAATCTTTTCTTAGTAAGTACTCCAAACAGGCAAAAGAAGCACCCAGCTCACTTAAAAGCAGGGAAGCTGAATTTTGTCAGTAAGTCTTCCACTAATTCACTCAGTGACTTAGAATGGTTACCAAAGCCAGCAGTTTTAAAAGCCAGCAGCTAAACTAAGGTACTAAAAAACACTTCAGGGAAAGATTTACATTGACTGTAGGAGGCTCTGAATCAGTCTGCAAATGGCTGATTAGTAAAATGTGCTGAATACTCGCACTAATTGCTTAAGTCAACAACAGATGGAGGAGTTGGCATTTGTGGACATAAGGCCACTCCTTCACATATCCAACTTTAGACGTGCAAGTAGGAACATCTGAGCTCAAGCTCTGTGTCCCAGCTTTTCAGTAAGCAAAATAAGTCTTAAGGAAACCCCATTCTTGGGTGTTACAGTGAAAATGCTATTTAATTATTCATACATCAGCTGTGTCACAGACAATCACACATGCAAACAACTGCCAAATATGCCCTTTCATCAAGTCTGCTCCCCTGGCAGTCCCAGCCCCCGCCTCCTGCTCTGCTTCAGCCTCTCCACACCCAGCTTCCAGCACTGGGCTCCCTTCCTGATCAGAAACCATCTTCATTCCCAAACCAGCCTCTTCACGCCTTCCCAAGATCCCAGCCTTCTTACGCAGCAATCTTAAACTATATTGCTGTTCAGTCTTCTCCCCATGTATCTCCTAGCTTCCCAACAGCCAAATTTTATGTCCTGCTCCATGCCTGGGAACAGGAGGGCCATGCCAATGAGAAAAAGGTCACTGGGATTTTCACTATAACACAGAAACTGTGGAAAACACAGAACTATTTGGGGTGAAATTTTCCTTCTCTCTCATACACGTGTGGGCATACACAAATACACAAAAGTCCTGCAAAAAAAAAAAATGTTTTGCCCCAGTCAATTCAAACGATACTAGAAAGATTATGTCTGGAAAAGATATTAATAACTGAAATAATTTACTGAGAAAATTTTGGATTGGAAGATGGGAAGTGGACCTGGACCTGGAAGCTTAGAAAGCATTTGGACTACCTGTGAGGTAGAGAAACATATGCAAAATCATCATAGAAAAACAGGTAGCTCCAGTGTCTGAATATTAGAAAGTAGCAAATTAATATTTCTCAAGAACATGATCAATGCTTTAGTGATCATTTAGAAACAAACACCCAGCAGGAATATTTAGAAGTGCAAATTGAGGACATACATATCACTAAAATAACAGTATTTTCTTCATTGAAGTTCTAGCTGCATCAAAACCTATTTAATATTAATGAAAAATTTAAAGTTAAGGTTTTCTCTTCTTTTTCTTGTGTACTATAGTACAACAAATAAGTTTGCTAGTGCTACATTTGAGTGGTTTGAAGGAACTGATATTATTTACTGCCAGCTAATAAAAAAGTAACTGCACGTGCAGTACAAATAACGAGTATTATGTTGCCTCAATGCATAAGTAACGAAGCCATTTCTGATAATTTTCCACATAGACCATTTGCCTAATGAAATCAGCCTTCCTTCCTCTTCAAAGTACTGCTCTGTATTACCCCGGTTGGATGAAAATAGCCTTTTCACTGACTCAAACCATTCTCTTTCATTACTATGTTCAAGCATAATGCAAAGCAAATTCAGTCATGCAGCCAGCCTGATGTTGAAATAAAAAAAAATCCCATTTGATCATCTGAGTGAAAGGTTCCACAACTGAACTTTGTCCAGTAGGCAAAATTGTATTCAACTCTTCATATGCTGAATTCAATAGGGATACTCAATGTGCAGTTTGTTTGCATGCACCCATCGAAGGCAGAAAAAACAAGGCTCCAAGACATAAACAAGTTCAGGGGAAGTATTCCAGCAAGGATTTTGCCCACAGTCTCACTGATGTTATATGTATACCTATTGGGAAATCCCTACACTAGGATGGAGGGACTACATTCTGACATTTTTTGGTGAAAGCAATGTCATTACAGCAATTTAACAGATGAATAAATTTCTTCGATTCCAGTATCAGTATCTGGCAGTCCATGTGAAAAATTACACAGCTTTTCTCAAGTGCTTTTAGCAAATGTATTTTCTTTCTTAAATTTAAAATTAACAAACCTTTCCAGTCAGCTTTGAAAGATCATCTCCTCCCATTATCTGCATATCTTGCATAGACTGATCATTCTGAAAGAAGAAAGATCAAACTTTGAAATTGGATATAACTGTATAAAATAAAAGCATAAACATGTTAACTTTTTTTTGACCTTTCACAGTCTTGATTACCAGTATTTCTAATGCTTACTAGTATTGGTGTATAACAAAACCACACTCTCACTTGTTCCTATGGCTTCTACCATCTCCTGGTTGTATTAAATCTAACATTAAGCTCCAGGCTTTACTGAACTAGAAAAACTTGCATCTTTCTTTTTAAAATAATGTTCCCTTGCTTGCTATTTCTTAATATGATACATGTTGAGTAATGTATTTGTCCCTTTCACAATGGGAGGACAGGAGCATCTCAAAACTTGACCAGACACCTGTAAGCACGTTCTTTTTTTGGAGCAATCTTTAGAAACACAGGCAAAATGTGCTTACATCTGTCACTCACACAGAGAACACTGCTATTTTTGAAGAAATTCACTCAATATTTATTTTCAGGGGAAAAAAGTTTTGCAAAAATTATCACTTGTTATCAAGAATAGTTTCAGTGTGCCATACAGTTTCAAGAGGTCTGGTTTTGCTTTTTCAGCTAACTCAAAGATAAAATCCTTGAGTCCAATTTTGTAAAATAAAATACTGAAAACCAGGTCAAACCAAATGCAACAGAACAATATGCTTTGATTTTCCTATTAGAAAAGGCATTAAAAAAAAAAACAAAACAGTAAAACATTTTTGACAAATTTGTTTACAGACATTTCTAGTTGAAATTTGTTCTGATGAAAAATTCTCAACCATCTCTAGTTCAAAGTCATCATCATCAGCACACAAAGTTAAAATCACATAAGGGAGATAAACTTTTAAGAGAAGACAAAAGACGCTGTAAAGCAGGTAGCAAATTAAAAAATACACAGTCATGGCCAGGCTGTATGAACTTTCCAGAGAAAGCAATGTGGGGGGTTTGCCAAATTGCATGTGCTAATCTAATCTCCCTATCCATAGGAAGACTGCGTTAGTCCATTTTCAGTAACAGCTGTGACACTGCAATTTACTAGTAACATCTGGAAGCTTTATCATTACAAACAACTGACAAAAAAATGCAATACTTGAATACTCTGCTTTTATTTCATAAATGCATTGCTCTGAAGTAAAATGTTTCTCCACGAATGGCACAGCAGGACTTATGAGGTAGGTGAGGATATACTGGGCTAGGGGGTTTATAGCTCTTCTTCCCCCGACAAAGCAGCACCAGCAGAGGCAGCACGGATGCGCCCTGCCATGCAGCACGGTTACAGCTGCACGACTGTGCAGATGGGAAGTGCATCTGCCCACGCCCACATCCCAGGTGGCAGAAGTCCAGGGACTTCCAAGACACCTTTGCAGCCGCTTGGTCACAAGCAATCTGACAACCCCAGGAACTATTTGTGGTCCCCATGCAATGGATTGTCTAAATTTGTCTAAATTAATACAGCTTTCCTGAGTAACTCTAAGTAAAGGCTGCAGAATCACCTAGATGACAATTTCTCCAGGTCTGCATACTGCAGACCCACCAAAAGGCTCCCCTTTTACTCAGACTCCATTCTCAAAAAGCTCACACCACAGCTCTGTAAGAGGTCCTTAGCAGTCATTGCCTTAAAAGACAGTTTTTAGACCTGCCTTCACTTTTTCTGCACCGGATTGAGGAGCTATAAATCCTTTTCATGCTGCTCTGATTCGTTTCCTGGGAAACAGAGCTAGAGCAGGAATGAAGGTTACATCCCATATGTTTTTTAATGTAAGTTTCAACATTTCTCTTATTTTTGTAAAGAAAAACAAAAAGAAAAACTTAAAAACAAAGCAAGCAACTGACTTCCTCAGAAGATTATTTTAAAACTAAATAAAAAGTGGAAATAGAGAAAATTTTATGTTCAGGCTTAAAAGCATAAGAATTTTGTTGTTGAGCAAGACAGGTCACTCTTCAAAAGTCAGGAACATATTCAGATCAAGACTATTATAAGACTATAAAAAGCAGATAGTTTCTAATATCTACCATGGCATGTGTAACCAATGCACTGACAAAATATTTTTTCATTTCCAAACGAGAAAGTCTGAAATTTCATTAACAACCAGCACACAAGAATTACTGAAAAGGCACTTTGCCCTTAGCTGCTAATTAAAAAAGAGAGGGGAAAAAAAAAAAAGATAACAGTGAGGTGCAATGATTAATTAATTTATTTATTTTTAACTAACAAAAAAAAAATCTCTTTCAGCAGTCTTCACAGCAGCACTGTTTCCTTTGCATTCTGTATTTCTGGCTCCAGCTGAAAGGAAGATGCTGAAATAGCATCTTCATTGCTGGCAAGCAGTTAAGCAAACACAAAAGCCATTGAGAGCTGAGGGATCAGAGCATCCTGTGAATCTGCGTATTCATACATTGGCTGTTGTGACACAACTGCACACAATTATGAAAATCCTCATGTTCTGACTGGAGAATGACTGCTGTTAGAGGACAGGGCTGAGTATTCACTGTGCCTAAAAAACACATAAGAAAAATGCAGCTCAGAACCCTCCAGCCAAGGTGCTTTCAAGAAATTTGAAGAAATTATTGCATCACGCAGTAGAGCAATTCTCTTGGAAAAAAAAAAAAAAATCAGATCATTGATTTCAATGCCATTTATAATGAACTCCACATTCATCTATTAACTCATATTGCAAAATACATACCCTGCCAAACACCAAGACTCAATACCACAATATCACATTACTGTAATCATAATGCTCATATAGATAATGTGCACACTGGTTGCCATAGGAACCTCTCAATGCTTTTTTCTGAGTTCTCGGTTTATAATCTCAAAATAACACTGCACTAAATGTTAAGTATAAAGTACAATAAATGTCAGTAAAGAAAAAAATCTGTTTCATTCAGTACTAATTACTGTAAATTCAGAACTGTTTGTTTAATTTTTATGGTCTCAAGTCATTCAGAGCTTCATTTTTCCTTTGGGAATTGTTCCACACCTTAACAAAACTGATACGATCAAGTTGCTAGGACTTCTTATAAATGCACAGACATGGATTAAAGGTTCACTTTCTGTCACCCAAATTTCTTCAATACTTCCCTTCTAACATCCCTAAACCCTATCAACACAATTTTTGCTGTTCAATGCTTAATGCTAAACATATTGCCCCAGATGGAGACATATCAAAATCACACTGTTTTGGTTAATGCAGCACAAAATTTATTGCATCTGTTTCTAACAAGATATGATGCATTGTGTCACATCCCTATACCTCATAACAAGCTATATTTAATACTGCATTTCAGATTTTTTCTATGTATAATAAATCTGAATTTTCCAGGATAAATATCAATTTCTTTGTTTTTACTTGCTGCGTTGTGCTTTTTCACCTGTTCATCTTTGGTTTATAATTTTATTTCATTCAGACCTTGTCAATATACATCTTCAGACCCTATGAACACTTGATAGATGAAAGTAAGAACGTGGCTATTTCCACCTCGATTCTTCACGGCATGCAAGTCAACTTTGACTTTCTATGTTGATTGGAAGTATAGATATTTAAATTCCATCTATACTAAGTCATGTCTTTTGAACTGGGTGGGGCACAGAATTATTACATCTCTCTTACATCTCCTGAGATCAACACTTGGACATAGTTCAAGTTGCAAGTGAAATGAATTGGGTGGTCTCAGGAAAATTTATTATAAACAGCATTGCTCATCTGAAAATTGCACCAAACTGTGAACATCTGTTACTCTTCTAAAGAAACAGAATCTGGAGTACATTAATACTGGACTCAGTGAAACAAAGATTCTTTAATCATGGCAAAAAAGTAGCTCTAACATAACAGTTTAAATGTATAATTAAATTATGAAATATGGACACCAGGTCATTATCACACATCTAGTTACTATAGTCTGCAGAGTTCATATGGAATTTCTTTGAAAAAATATGATTACCTTTTTCTTCCAGAATTCACCAGGGCAAGACTTAACAAAGAAGGATGTGACCATCAGACCTACTTTGCTTTCTGCAACTTGGATGATACAGTAGATTTGCCCACCAGAGGATTCCCATGAGGACAGGTCTCTCACTTTGCACTGTGATCCCATCTCCTACATCTGGGATTTTGTGCTGGTTTTGGCTGGGGTAGAGTTAATTTTCTTCACAGTAGCTAGGACAGGGCTGTGTTTTGGATTTGTGCTGGAATCAGTGTTTATAATTCAGGGATGGTTTAGTTATTGCTGAGCAGTGCTTACACAGTGTTAAGGCCTTTTGTGATTCATACTGCCCTGCCAGTGAGTAGGATGGGGGTGCACAAGAAGTTGGGAGGGGACACAGCTGGAACAGCTGACCTCAGCTAACCAAAGGGATGTTCCATACCATATGACATCATTCTCAGCATATAAAGCTGGGGGAAGAAGAAGGAAGCGGGGGATGTTCAGAGTTATGGCATTTGTCTTCCCAAGGAACAGTTATGCATGATGAAGCCCTGATTTCTTGGAGATATCTGAACAATGGGAAGTGGTTTGTTTTACTTTGCTTGTGCATGCAGCTTTTCCTTTACCTATTAAACTGTCTTTATCTTAACTTAAGAGTTTTCTCACTTTTACTATTCTGATTCTCTCCCCCATCTCACAGGGAGGGGAGTGAGTGGAGTGGCTGTGTGGGACTTAGTTGCCAGCTGGGGTTAAACCACAGCAGCCTTCCAGGAAGGTTTTGACCAAAAAGAAGTGATTGATAGACCATCACTTTCAGTTATCCCTTGGAACCTCAAGCCGTTGAATACAGAGCATCTCTAAGGCTTCCCTTATCCCTCCCTAATGGCCAAATGAAATGGTTAGGACAGAATTACTGCCAGTAAAGTTTCTGACATACCCACAAGTGGCAGAGTTTGAAAAGCAAGAGTCCAGCATCACTTCACCAATAGGTTTGGTGTGAAATGTCCACTAAAGCAGAGTAGAGTTCAGTCTCCACATTCACTTTGGCCTCACTTTTTTATTTTCCGTTGAGACTGTCATTAAC